AGCAGGAATACAGGAGCTGGTCATAAACTCCCCTCCAAAGCTGGCTTTTGCTCATCTGACCAGGTTTTCCATTAAAAAACCAGGCAGGCTGTGCCACCTGGCTGCTTTCTGCAAGCACCGCACTTTGCTTTGCTCCTTGGGAGCCATCCAACAAACCAGAACTGTTTGGAGGGAGAAACTCCAGTGCAAAGCCCCCCAGGAGTCCCAGGGAGCCCAGTGCCCGGGGTCTCTGCCTCACCCCCTGCATGGAGGGTCCCACCACAGCAGGGGTCATGCAAAACCCCAGTGGGGAAAGGTGCCAACAGCCCCATGGAGAAGCACACACCCAGGGCATGCTGCTCCAAGCTGGGCTGCTGCTGGGGAAATGGCTTTGTGCAAGCAGACAGCCCTCACCTGCAGCCCACCAGCACAGCTGAGACGATGCAGCCTGCTGAGCCACCGACTGAGCAACCCTGCGATCCCCTGGTGCCCAATCCCAGGGTTAAAATTGGAAGGAAAATCAGCCTCACCAGTAGCCAGGTCTGAAAGAGAGCAGGAGCGTCCCACGCTGACCGCGGCAACCCACCGTGTGGCCGCAGCCCCAGGGTGGCTGGGAACAGCACTTAGCGTATGGTGAATGCCTTTATTAATTAAAGCCTCCAGTTAATATGGGAGGGAGGGTGGCCAAGCAATGAGGAAAGGCCTCGTGACCTTGCTCGAGTGGTGAGGGGAAAGCTGCCTCACGAGGGACATGGCAGAGCCCTGCACTGACCGGCATCCTCAGCATGGGATGGACAGTCACCTGAAGTGGTGCTGAGCATGGGAACGGAGGAGGGATCAGTACATCAGGGAGTCCCATGGGTGCAACTGCCTGCGAGCAGGATCACAGCCATGCTGCTGGCTTCCTGTGGGTGCTCTGCTTCCCATGCCACCCCACAGGTACCCTCATCCCTGCTCCTGCCAGCACAGCAGTGGGGCTGTGGGCAGTGTCCCCCAGCCCAGCTGAGCCACATCACTGCAGCGGGCTGGTGAGGAAGCCATAGCTCCAGATCTCCTAGCCAAAGCAACTTGGCTCCCATTGCATGCTGGGACAATGTGGCTGGCAGGAAGTCCTTTTCCCTCCAGCTCACCCCAATGCTCCCCAACAGCACCCATCCCCAGGGTGCTGCCCCAAGCACACCAACCTCTGCTCCCACCCTGCCTTCCTGTGTGGTGCCACCATTTCCTGGGCACAGCTGGGACACGCCTCCTCCCTAATCCCAAATCAGTCCCAAACCTAGCGTGATATTAGTGCTCTGTTTGGGACTAGTGCTCTGCCCCACCGTGGCCCTGGCACTGCATATACAGATGGGGATTGAAACAGCCGCATTGGCTTAACTTCCCCAGGGATCTGCAGCCCAATGTTGGCTTACTGGAGGAGAACCAGCTCACGGCAAGGAAATACACTATCATCATCATCACGATAAGACTGTGGGAAGGGTTTAACACTGGGCAGCATGTCTGGTCGGAAAGCAGAGGTCCCTCGGGCAATGCACCGGCCTCACAGGAGTCTTCCCATTGACAACCAGCGTCCTGCCCTGGCGCAGCGGTGGCACCCACAGGATGTCAGCATGGATTTTCCAGGCTAACTGAGCAGTGTGCAACAGATGGGGAGGCAAATCTGGAGGAGAGAGGCCTGGCGCTGCCAAGAGGTGAAGCCAAGGTGACCTCAAGCGAGGCGGGGAGAGGGAGGATGGGAACCTGCAACCCAGTCCAAGACACAGAAGCGTGCCCACAGCATCGCCCCCCAGAGCAGGACCACTGAGGAGCTGTGATGGGGTGGAGGAAAACCCCAGTGTGACACAGCCTGGGCCACCTCCCACCCCACCGGTGTAGGATAAACACCCACAGCTTGCTCTGCCCCCGCGGGGGGGCACAGGTCTGCACCCCAGCAGCCCCCACAAACCAGCCTAACCGTGTGGTCCAACTGGGGAGCGCAGGAGCGGGCAGGCCACAGCGTGGGGACCCACCGGGCCAGGGGATCTGGTGCCACCTGATGTAGGGGCCGAGCACCCCAGCTCTGCGGGGATGCAGGCTGTCTTGCAATGGCTGTTGCTAAAAGCAACCTCCTCCCCAGCCCCATCCTCGGGGCACCCAGGCGGCGGGGAGTCTCCCAGGGGAGGCTGGCAGAGGAGCAGGCACTGCAGGGATGCTCCGGAAGTTCCAAAGGCACCCTCCAGCCCCCCTCGGCTGTCTGCTTGGCAGACCCCCGCACCAGGAGGCTGCCGACTCAGTCCCCCCCTTCACCCCCCAGCACCACCAGGCTGGGCTTCCCCCGCTGCAGCCTTGGCACCTCCCCAGGCATCGCCTCCCGTATCCCAAAAAGCATCGTTCCCCCCCAGCAGCCCATACATGAGGGAGAAGAGGCAGGCGGGGGGGAGAAGGGAGGGGCGGTAGCTCCATCTCCTAGTCAGGGGCTGAATGCTCTTCCCCCCCGACCCCATCACCCAGCGCCCGGCTCCTCCCAGCCTCGCTCCCCCCTCCAGCACCTCCGGGGCGGCGGGAGCGGGGGCCGCCCGGCCCGGGCGGCCCCGTCCGGCGCCCCCA